GGTTTCAGTGCTTTCCCCCCCAGTTACTTTTTTCCCCCTAACAATGGGAGCAGCTTATTAAACCAGGAAACTCCTTCCATGGTATGTTAACAATACTATCCCAACTTGGGTTCCTGGCTTTTTCCTTTTGAATAATCTTTTTTTTTTTTAGTGGAAGAAGCTAGAGATTCCACTTTGGGTTGTAAAGTTATACAAGCCATGGAAGGAAGCAAATTGCTCTTGCTGTCAGGAGGAGAACTGATGAAGTTAATTTTTATTAGAATTCTGCCTTACATAACTACTACAAGGACAGCTTGAATAAAGTATTTTATGTTCTAGTCCTGGGTAATAAAATGTCGGAGGTCTATCTTTCTCTACTTAATTTTTTTTCTAACTCATTCTGAGTTTCACACCAGTTTAGTGTACACCATATTGATGAGTTTTTTCTTTTGTTTAGAAAAGATCAACATTATTAAACCCCATTTAAAAACACTAGGTATAAACAGTATCTTTTCAATTTTGTTGTGATTGTTTTATGTGCTTGGTTGTCAAACATTTATCTTCAAGGGTTGTGTGTTTAACAATTCTGTAACTCAATCTGCATAGAGTCAAATATTTCTGTTGTAATTAACTTCTGTTGTAATGATTAATCCTGGAGTTCATTAAAGCCAGTTACCTTGAGTTTGGGAGGATTTAATTTGATCCTAGTCAGCCTCAGAAAGTTTGTGTAAAAATTAAAGGCATATAGACTTAAAAGTAGGCCTTGCATAGTGAAGTCCATAGCAAATGAACCTTAAACTTTCCCTAGGCACACCTTTGGTTGCTAAATGTTTTTTAGAGAGAAAGAGAGGAAGGGATAACAGTTCCATTTTCTTTCCTCCAGCAGCACAGCGACTCTGATTCAGAGCCAGAATTTCCTTCGCAGTTGCCTTCCATACCCACAGCAATACCTGTGACAGGAGAGTCTTACTGCAACTGTGAGAACCAGAATGAAACCCCATACTGCTCCAGCTTCCACATGGCTCACCGGATGAAAGATTGCCAGTGTGGAGAGGAAGATGAATGTGAGAGAGCTCCCATTTTCCTTCTCTTGTCTCATTGATCATTTCAATCTCAGCTGAACTATAGTTGTATAAATATCTATTCTGAAAGTGACACAGATGCACAAGAGAACATTTTTGGGGAATAGAAATCTTCTCCAGTTTTTGCTACAGAACCCACAGCCCTTTGCCATTGGCTATTCTGGCTGAGGTTGATGGGAGCTGAAGTCCAAAAGTTACCTTCTCTTGAAGCAGATGGTGTATTCTAGTGTGGCATTTTGTCTTGAAAGATCACTGATGCTGCATGTTGAAGGTAGCAAGTTGAATGTCTCCATAGGAGCTCTCACCTCTGAAGCCCTAGAGTTAAATCTGGTTTATCTAGTGAATTCAATGGAATGTTGTAGTTTTGGTTCAGTCTGTAATTGATTATCAACCATGATACAGCAGTTGATAACAAACACATTAGATGAGGCGAAATGAGGGGGATAGAGCAAGTTAGGCAGTTTGCTGATGAAGAATACTAATCTGCTAAATGCTACTATTTTTTTTTTTTTTTTTGGCCTAAACCTTAGGAACTAAAATGGAGGGGACTAAAAGCACTCAGTTTTCTTATAAAGTTGAGTTTCAGAAGTAAACAAAGTAGAACATAAAAAGCTGCTCTATGCCAGGTCTACTGACCTGAGTCTTATCTCTGCCTGAGAGCAGCTCTCTAGAGTCTGAGAAAGGTTCATCACTTGCTTTCTGATCCTTTTTAGTTGAAAGTGCCAAGGATTGAGCCTGAGACTTTGTTCATGAAGCGTAGCTTTTGTATAAATGTTATTTATATAAGACCCGGAGGAGGAGGTATTTGTTGGGCTGGAGGATATTATTCTTGTTCATTTTCACCACCTTCCAAAGATTTCCTATTGGCAGTGGTGAGACTGTTCTATTTTTATTTACAGAGTAGTTGTTAGATAAGGTTATGTTAGAACAACTTTGCATGCTCGTTTTCTGAATGTAATGGCAGAGCAGAGTCATGGCTGGAGAAGAGTTCTGAACTGGCCTTAATTATATTGTAGTATTGTCAAGGTGTGAAAAATAATTATAGACTGTTGGTTGAAACAGAAATACTTTTATAAGGCTGGTTGTAAATTCCTTTATTTATGAAATAAAAATGGTGAAGGAAGCCAATCTTCCATGGGCAGCATCCTTATAAAAGCCTTTTAAGGGAAATTGTAATAATTATGCATTTTAATTGGTTTGGAATGGACATAGAGATCTAACACTGAAGAACAAGACTGTGCTTCCTAGTTATGCAAGACTTTTACATAAGGGGAGTTCTTCAAAAAGAACATTTTGTATTTAATATCCTTTCTTTAGTAGTTCTCAGAAAGGAATCTCAACTTATCCACCAAAATATGTACTGTGATATATCCAGGGATAGGTTAATACTTTTATCAACACTAGATCAGTGTTCTTCAAACTTGGCCACTTTAAGATTTGTGGACTTCAACTCCTGGAATTCTGGGAGTTGAAGCTTGCACATCTTAAAGTGGCCAAGTTTGAAAAACACTGATCTAGGCTAATACATTTTCTAATTTTATTCTTCAACTAAGAGCAAATTCACAGGCATAACTTGAAGTGAGGTGGTTTGAGATGTTCCCCATTCACATCACTTTTTCTTCCACATCTTTCCCTCCATAGATTTTGACTGGGTATGGGATGAATTGAACAAATCGGCAAATACTCTTTTGACCTGTGACAACCGTAAGGTAAATTTCCACATGGATTACAGTTGTGGTACTGCTGCCATCCGGGGTAACAAGGAGCTAGCAGAGGGCCAGCACTTCTGGGAAATCAAGATGACCTCACCTGTCTATGGCACTGACATGGTACGTTGGACAGAACACGATAAGTACTGTAACCAGTTTAAAAAAATAACCCAATAAGATTGATCATTAATTACATCTCAGTGGTTTCTGTCGCTGGGAGTTGAGTGACATATACATTCAATATATTATTATGGTTAGTCGTATTGTTTTGTCTTCAATTTTTGTTTTTTAAAGGTCTGCTTTGCTTCTCCAGTTCCAAACAGCTTGTATCCAACTTTTCTTTTTAAAAAATACAGTCAGATATCACAGAGGAAGATCATGCATCAACAAGGCCATTGGCTTGCTGGCATAAACCCCAAATGGCATTGAAATGCTGCCAGTACAGGAGAAGGGCAGGGGTTCTGTAACGTAGGGGCAAATGAGTAATAGCTGTGGCTGGATTTTACTGGTAAGAGGTGATCACACTGGAGTGCTGTTTGTGAGAATTGGCCTTTTTCATGGGGAAATTCTTATATACACATGGGTTGTATATACAGTAACATTCAAGGCTGCTGCCCTTGTGAACAGTCCGATCTATAATCCTCAGTTTTTCCATGTAGTGTCTCTGCTGCCTGGATATGGCAGCTACTGTGAGACGAATATAGTTGAATGATCCATGGGGGCCTTTTTTTCTTTTTTCCTGGTATATGGAAGCTTTTGAGGCTTAGTCTCTGGTATTTCCAGCTAAAGAAACATATGATGGATAAGTCTTAAAAGAACATAATAGTACTGCGTTAAATAAATCTGCTTCACGCAAGGCACTAAGCCATAGACCGGAAGTTTTGGGCTCATATAGCACGGTAAGCCAAAATCAGATAGTGGCATGTGCTCTGTTTCTTTTTCTTTCTTTTTTGCTGAAATTGTGGGTTTATACAGTCAGTGAATTGGAAGGCAGGAAATTGGATAATTATGTTAGAACACAATGTTGTGTCCCTTCATAGAAGAAGGGTCACTGTTGAATCAAGATGGAGAGGTGCTAAACACATCAACCAGCATGACTGCAACAGCACACATGTCAGTTTTTTTCCCCTAAACCACAGTAGTGTTATACTGCTGTAAAGAAAAATAATACAACTGCTTTGGCTGTATATTATTATTGAGCTGTATTTACTTGTATATATTTGTTTTCTTAACTGAGAAGAGTTCATTTCATTTGGGAAAACTGGGAGTGAATAAAAATTTGCCTAAACTAGAAGTAGGCAACCTAGTGCCTTCTGCTTATTTTGAACTACATAGAACTTATTTTGTTCAAGAAATTACATACAAGTAATCCTCGCTTACTGACCACTACTGGGATCAGCAACTTTGTCACTAAGCAATGCAGTCATAAACTGAAAAATCACATGACTGTGCCTGACTTATAATGGCAGTTTGTTAGTTCCATCTGCAGTCATTAGGTGAATCACTGTGGGTCATTAAGTGTGATGTCATGTGACCGTGACTTGCAACTTCCTGCCAGCTTCCTTGTTGACTTTGCCTGTTGGAAGCTGGCTGTGAAGGTTGCAAATGATGATACTGCAACTGTTGTAAATGGGTGTCAGGTGCCTGAATTGTGATCACATGACCATGGGGACACTGTGATGGTCACAAGCTCCTTATTCAGCACTGTCGTAACTTTGAACAGTCACTGAACAAACGGCCAGTAAGTGAGGACTACCTGTATTTGGCTCTGGTTAATAGTGACTTTTGTATGTTGTGTTTCTTCCTCCCACCCTATGCTCCTAGATGGTAGGAATTGGAACATCAGATGTGAACCTAGATAAGTTCCGTCACACGTTCTGTAGCCTGTTGGGCAAAGATGAAGACAGCTGGGGTCTCTCCTATACAGGTAATGGTAGCAAATTCCCTGATGTGAAAGAGAAGAGTTTAGATTTATTTATATCTAGATTTGTAACATACAGTCAGGTCCAGAAATATTGGGACATCGACACAATTCTAACATCTTTGGCTC